AGGATAATGAAAAGAGCAAAGATGGGAGCAGAACCTGCCAGGTGGCCCTGCCGGTTAAGTCTGCTGGTTGAGTCCATGGAGAAAACATACTGGGGTCTGGTTTTCTTACAGAACATTCAGCTGGTGGCAGATGGCTGCTGTAACCTCCAGAAGCAAATTCAGATTGCTCAGCTCTTTGGGGTTCCTGTCGTCGTGGCTCTGAACGTCTTCAAGTAAGTCATGACTCCTGGTTTAAATGTAGCCCTACTGCTGGACCACCCTAGGAGCTCTGTGTCCTGAGGCTGCTGGTTTTATGTGCTTCATAGGAAAGTATACAGAAATACTCACCTCTCTCTGCTCGTTGGTTTGGTTGCTTTCACTGTAGCAGAGGAATTCTTTGGGAAATGAAATCTATATAGTGAGTTACCATTTCCTTGGTTTTTTTTTTGGTTGTTTTTTTATAAAATTCCACCCAGTATTTCTGTCTGAAGACTGTAGATGATCAAAGGGATATGTTATGGGATTTTCTCGATAAAACCCTTAACAATTTGAAATATTTGAGTCGTTAGAGAGGGTCGTTTTCCTATGCTTTTCTTTAAGTCTGATTTATTTAAACATGATGGAACCGTGTTTGATGTTGAAAATACATTCAGCGTCAGGGAGTGAAGTTCTATATAAACAGTTAGTCTTTCTTTTAAAACATCTCTAAATGGATACAGATGCAAAACCAAAAACGTTTTCATCACCAGGACCGACACCCGCGCCGAGATCGACTTGGTGTGTGAGCTGGCAAAGCGGGCCGGAGCCTTCAATGCCGTCCCCTGCTACCACTGGTCAGTTGGTGGGAAAGGGTCGGTGGACCTGGCACAGGCCGTGAGAGAAGCTGCAAACAAGAGAAGTCGTTTCCAGTTCCTGTATGACGTCCAGGTGAGATGCAACAGCAGGGACAGCAGCAGCGATAATAAGGGGGACTGACATCCCTTGAACCCTAGCTACGTGGCAGGTTGTTGCTGAGAACGCATTGTGGATTGTCTCATTGGTCATTGCAGCGACCCTGGGATGTAGGTATAATTCTTGCCCCATGCCACCCCAGCAGGAGTGGGGTGGTAACCTTGCTCTCAAGGCTTCCACTCCGGGAGGTATCCCACGTCTGTAGGCACTCTGCCAGCATTCACTTCTTTAACCCTAACGTCTCTGTTGGCTAGGACGGATGATATCATTCCCCCATTTTACAAGTAAGATTAGGGAAACTCACGATGAAGGAGGTGGAGCCATTTGACAAGGGTATGACCCCAGCATCCTGCCCCCAAATCTGTGCTCTCGGTCGCCCCCCTCTCTCTCTGCAAATCAAGGCTCAGTGAGGAGGTGCTTTGGAGAACAGGGTCAGCAGCTAACACTTTCAGGGCTGGCATCAGACTTGGCTTCTCAGGAGGCTTGTGAAGTCATGGGAGGTTTTTTTCTTGTC